CTGGAAAATAACTTGATAACTACAGCAAGGAGATCATGCAACTACCTATATGATCACCCACCAATATTAGCTAAGTTCTCTACACGATTATAACATCGCCCTATACTCCCATTAATATAGATGCACTCAATAGCAGTAGCAAAGTCACATACCTCCTATAGAAACATCGTATGTAATATCAATATACAATCAGATGCGCTCGCTAGTGACAGCAAGTTTCTAAGTAGATATGTATCTGATAATCGTAGTTAAGTCATAATCATAAAAGTCGACTTTATAATCAGAGGTGATAACTCACTTGTCCCCTATGCTATTAGAGATAGCTTGTTTTGTAACTATGGTTAATAGAAATTTTCATCGGTGTAGTTATCCTCCTATGTCGTCCTATATAAAGGACATTCATTTTTTTGTTGAATATATTCGATTTTCTCATTCTGGCTCTTGAACTCTATAGGAATTTGTAGGATTGAAATATAGTAGTAGTTCTTGCTGGATCTCTTATATAAATATATGGTTCAGGAATAAGTGAGTTTAAAGTGAATGATTGTATACATGCGGTTCATCTTTCAGTTTCTTCATTACGAAAAATTGTTCATAAAAATGCCTACATTTTTAGTTAGCCTGAGGATATAGTTTGACATAGTCCTCCTCTCATATCGTGATAAAAATCTTCACAATAATTGTATTCGGAATATTTATTATATGATTAATCATACATGTTTCCATGATGGGCATGATGGCCATCATGCAATCACTGCCTACTTGGAAAAGGTTCTTTGGCAATAAAATTCGCTTACATTGCATCGAGTCCATGTCGAAATCGTGCACATATTGTCACAAGTATCGAGGAATTTTCAAAATGAACATTCGAAACAATAATAAGTAATTATTCATTGATACAAGATATCGACATCGTACATAGCAAAAATAATTAACCTGCTTATGAACTTCTTATTGTATGAAGCATTTTTGAATTTGGATCTGAGAATGTCACAAAATATATAGGGTGTTATATTCAAATAAATTACCAATGTCGTCATCACCTTGTGTATGTGTATGCCATCCTGTAGGATGAAATTTTGTTGTTAAATGTGCAAGATTGAAATAAAGAATCGATGAGTCCCAGATCTTCTCGAAAGCACTTCCCATTTAGAAAATATTGATTTTATTCCATATATATTACGTATACTCTGTATATATGATTCAAAACGCTGGTGAATACTAGAATGACAATTAAACGGCCATTCTCTCTCTGATGAGGCCTAGAAAACAAACGGTTCTGCTGCCTCTGTCCATCAGGTTATACACAAGAACATAGAATACGTATACCGATATGCACTCACTAGTGCGAGGAAGCATGAATCTGTCTTGGATGTTCCTGAAAAATCTGTGCAACCTGTGTCGAACAAAGGCGTAAGAACGAAAATTTGTTTCTTGTCTTCTACGTTTTTACTTATTTTCATCCTTCATTACCATGCTCACGCAATTATTATAGAATTCATTTTTTCGTTTCAAGATCAGAAATGGCCTAAGAAGAGATGATGAGCATGGTATGTTTTTGGTATCATATTTGCGAGTGAATTTTATTGGCATACCGACATTAAATGATAAAGATGAAGAGCCCTAATTTCGAGGGACAATGGAAAATGAAAAAAACTCCACCGCCCCGTGTGAGAGTCGAACTCACAACCTCTGGGTTACATGCCCAACGCTCTGCCAATTGAGCTAACGGGTCATCCGTCGATCAATCGGCAGGGAGGTCGAGTTCTCATCACACATCAGGCGGCAGAATCCTTCCAATTCCCGAAGTCACTCGAAAATGCTCGAAATAATGCACTATACGAAGCATCGCTGGCAGGATGGTACTATACAGTCACCATATTTCCCCGTTCGTCCTCTGGCATTAATGACATACATATTTCAATCCGTAGTCACTCCCAGTCCCAGCACACCCAAAGCACACCCAACAGGACAATGCTACATCGTATGACAACCGGGATAATAGGCATCCATGGCAAGATTACCCTTGTCCCCGGTGACTGGTGAATGAATATAACAAATCATTTTTTCATCATAATCATCGTAGTCGTCGTTATTTTCAATTCCAGATCAAAATTCACTATTCATTCTTCACGTGAACCCAGTGCCGGATTAGCCACGTAGCAAGAGTAGCAAATGCTACGGGCCTTGCGAATTGGGGGGCCCCGCGCTGCAACGCCTGTCCGGCTTGTCTTACTGTAAAAAAAATGCATCAGATCTGTACGACTGTGAAGGATACTATCAGCAATAAACATAGGGACGAATCAAGCGATATACAAAGTACGACCATTTCAGCGGCTCTCTACTATACACTCGACGACTTTGTTGAAAAGCAAACACCTGGACAACGTTTTGAAGTTCAGGTATTTATTTCCATTATTGATAACGTACTGTCTGCTTCAACCAAACATTTGAAAGCAATTCATAAAATTACTAGTGTTTTTTGAGTGGTTCGACAGCGAAAGAGATTTTGGAAAAATCCTCAATAATGGTCAGTGCTCACACAGATGATTTGGACACCAGCCTAGACGACGAATTATAGTGTAGATCGTTGGGCTGCTCAAAACGAATTTGGGTACTGTCATTCAGAGCACCAAACAGGAGCCTCTGGAACTACAATTTTAAAAACTTTCATTGTATTATTCTTTAGGATCATGTTTCCCAAACATAGAAATTTCCGAATTTACGTGTATCTCATGATCGCTAACTGTAGTGGCGAACGTTTTTTTTTAGTATTGAAACGTATCAAAAATGAGTTAAGGAACACGATGGGCCAAGATCATTTCAATTATCTTACTTTCATAAATAAAGAGCATGATTTGCTTGAAGAAGTCGTTACTGAAAGTGTTATCTCTGAATTTGCCCATATTGGTATATCCAGAGAAGTTTATTTGTAATAGTTTCGTTTTATTCTATTCAATAATCTGAACTTGATAACCTAAAGCAAACCAAGGGCCTCTTGATAAAATTTGCTACAGGCCCTGCGCTGGCTTTAATCCGGCACTGCGTGAACCTCATCATTAATCCTGATTGAAGTACGTACACCTAATAACTTTCTAATATATTTTTACACATAGGTATATAGTTGAACCTGATAGACGTGTGAAAAAATAAAGATGTCCTCTTACTCCTCTTTTGCTAACAAACCGTCAGAGTACAAGGATAATCGTCATACAAACCTCATCGGGTTGAATCATAAACGCGTAGGTACCATAATTAACCATCAGAAACGATCTCCTATATAATCACTCCCAGTGCACCCAACAGGACAATGCTACATCGTATGACAATCAGGTTACTAGGCAGCCATGGCAAGATTACCCTCGCCCCCGGTGAATGAATACCTATAAGAAATCATTTTTTCATCATCATCATCGTTGTCGTCGTTATCTAGAGATGATCAGAATCTTGGATCATATCTCCTTATATTTGCATCGTTAGCATCATCATCTTCACACGTGATCCTCATTATTAATCTTGGTTGAAGTACGTACACCTAATAACTTTCTAATATGTACGTGTATATATACGTAGGTATAGGTATAGTTGAACCTGATAGACGTGTAAAAAAATAAAGATGTCCTCTTTCGCTAACAAACCGTCAGAGCACAAGGATAATCGAAATACAAATCTCTTCGGGTTGAATCAAATACGCGTACCATAATCAACCATCAGAAACGATCTTCTGTATAGTCACTCCCAGCACACCCAACAGGACAATGCTACATCGTATGACAACCAGGATAGCCCGAAGGCCCCATTCCAAATCTAATCTAATGACAACCAGGGTAATAGGCATCCGTGGCAAGATCTCTCGCCCCCGGTGCATAAATACCTTTAAGAAATCATTTTTTCATCATCATCATCATCGTCGTCATCGTTATCTAGAGATGATCAAGATCTTGGAATCATAATATCTCCTCATATTTGCATCGTTATCATCATTAACATCGTTATTTTCAATTTCAGATCAAAATTCACTCTTCATTCTTCACGTGAACCTGCTCTTCATCAATCCTGATTGGAGTAAGTACGCACCTAATAACTTTCTAATATGTACGTGTATATATACGTAGGTATATAGTTGAACCTGATAGACGTGTAAAAAAATAAAGATGTCCTCTTCCGCTAACAAACCGTCAGAGCACAAGGATAATCGTAATACAAACCTGATCGGGTTGAATCAAAAACGCGTACAATAATTAACCATCAGAAACGATCTTCTGTATAGTCACTCCCAGCACACCCAACAGGACAATGCTACATCGTATGACAACCATCAGGATAATAGGCATCCATGGCAAGATTACTCTCGCCCCCGGTGCATAAATACCTATAAGAAATCATTTTTTCATCATCATCATCGTGGTCGTCGTTATCTAGAGATGATCAAAATCTTGGAATCATAATATCTCCTCATATTTGCATCGTTATCATCATTAACATCGTTATTTTCAACTTCAGATCAAAATTCACTCGTACGTGTATATATACGTAGGTATATAGTTGAACCTGATAGACGTGTAAAAAAATGAAGATGTCCTCTTCCGCTAACAAACCGTCAGAGCACAAGGATAATCGTAATACAAACCTGATCGCGTTGAATCAAAAACGCGTACAATAATTAACCATCAGAAACGATCTTCTGTATAGTCACTCCCAGCACACCCAACAGGACAATGCTACATCGTATGACAACCAGGATAATAGGCAGCCATGGCCAGATTACGCTCGCCCCTGGTGACCAGTGGGTGGCCCTCCAAGTGATATCAAGTGGTCTGTCTACATAGCATGTCGCCACCGTTACCGCAGCACTCTGATTGATAGCTCTAGTCACGCGAAACCGATAGCAGACCACACGCGAAGCCCCGCCTAGTACTAGCTCCGCCCACTAGGGACCGCGCCCCTTGGTAGCAGGGCCAGCTAGCGGCCGCTGTGCTCGGCAACGTTAGTCGCAGAGTGGGCAGCACTAGTATAGGACATGTGCTAATAAGCATTGACGGTTTTGTGGTTTTTATTTGGTGGTTTGTGACTGTGTTGTGATGTTGCTTGGAGTGATGCCCGAAGATAACGTCCCTGTTGGGTTGATGGCGCCCACGGGAAAGAGCCAAAGGGCCACGGACTTTTCGATAGCCGCGATTATGGCTAGAGGTGCTTCCCAACCGGAGTGTGAGAGGGAATCGCCAAGCGACGGTAAGTCACTATCTGGAGTAGAATGAGGGGAACCGTGGTCCCGAATAATTTTTGGGGTGCTTGGAATGATTATTCACCACAACTGTTCTAATTATAACGTTTGAATTTGCCAACCCAATGGGCACCTACTTGGAAAAACCTCGGAAAAAACGTTAGAAATTGGTTGAGTAACCATTCGTTGAAAGGCGGTGATAGTGTCGCGGGAAATAAAGTTTTTCAATCAAGAAGTTGATTCAAGGTTGAGAAAAAACGTATTCTCAAGAAATTCATCAAGGTTAAATAATCATGTTGAATATATGTACCTAATCAAAGCAAACCTATTCATATAACGTTACAGGCATAAACACATTGGCAATGTTGACAAATCAATGAGTAACGTATTTTCAACCGCTATATCCAACATTGGATGAACGTTAGGTATATACCTACCATGTGCGCATCAAGGGAACCATGAACCATCTATTGAACAATCAACAGTCGGTTGGCAATTTAAAGTACGAAGGTTCCTGATGTAAATTGTTTATGGTCTTCAATACTTTTGATGGTCTCAATATTTTGTGTAGTGTTAAATCAGTAAACTGCATAACCATGAATAGGTTTCTTCACTGAGAAAATGTATTTGTCTTCTATTTCTTATTCTACTGATACAGCTAAAAATGTTGGCTACATAGGCGACAGACAATTGTCTATACTGCTACAGAAGAGAGCACTTCACTGCCAACGTCTTCCTGTGGGAGCAGAGCTACTTTATACAAGGAATTCACTTACAGTTGGAGCAAAATATCTTTATTGTCGTAGTGAAGCCAGTTTTCTGTCGTAGGAAAGTAACTATACTATCACGAGGAAGGGGTTCAAATCTCTCGTTATTGGAAAGTGGATTACTGATACCAGCAAAAATACCTATGTTGCTGCAGTATAACGTCCATTTCAGAACAACAAAGTTCTTGCCAATAGCAGCATGAGTGTTTTTATAGTTAGTGGAAGTTAATTTTCTTGCCATAGCAGACATATTTGCTGGGATTATCTTTGAACGTATGCTAGTACCATCTAGCCAGTCCAACAAAAGATTCAATTGGAGTTTTATTATACTTCTCTTGTTGGACCCGTTAATGGTTCCACTTCCAAAGATATTATCTACTAATAGGTATATTGCTAATGTGAGAGAATTTTGATTTCCACTTGCTATTGATACTATTCAATTTGAGATCATAGGTACATTGAAGAGTTGATGATTTCAATTACAGAAAGAAAACATAATATGGAAAATTTGATGAAATTCTAGATTCTCACTTCATCAGCCAAAAAACCTAAATCAATGATAACAATAGATTTATTCAAAATCACATTTATAGGTATCAACAAACTTATGACAAAAACAAAACAAACTTAAATAAAAGGGCGTATTATACCACCCTGTGTATCTATCATTTTCAGCTTATGAAGACTGAATCATTTTATCACCACTTCAACCAATTTACTAATGCCTTTGATAGAAAACTTGAACTATTTATTGAAACAAGATGAAAAATACCTAAAAAAAATATTATTTCTTCGAATAAAATACAATTACTCCTGTTACTTTCGTTCACCAGTGTAATATTAGTAATATTGGGGGGTACTGGCTTGGCTTCATTTTGTTGACCTAATTTAATTCACAACTATCAATCTGGACAAAGAACGAATACGGATAGATCAAGAACATGAATGCCCTATTCCTAGTAAGACTAGATAGTAAGTCTATATGACGCTAAATTTCTCCCGCTGGGAAAGCAGCAGAGAACATTCCGGTTATAATAATGAAGATATTGATGAAAACTTCGTTGCTATATAATAATAAGAAATCTATCTATCCTAGAAGAGTACATTTCCAGCGTAGTACCAATAATCTTAAAAAATCACTGTCCTGCTCCAACAGCATAGTTTCTTTTCGTGACAGCAAGTTTATATGGTGGTGTGATTTTTTTCTGTGAGAGCAAAGCCACATTACTTTGGTACTTTTTTTATACGACATCAGGAACAAAGAACTTAGCAAAGTCTCCTGGGACTGTCAGTGTTGTTTCTTCAATTCGTTTTACCAAAACTAACTCAAAACTCAAGTAAATACCTTAGATATGGGGTTTCACGGGTTTCATGATGATTTTGGAATAGATTTTGCGAGAGATTTTGGATCAACACAATAGCAATTTGTTCGGTGAATGGCACTAGAGAGAGCTAGAAGAGAAGACGTTTGGTGCTTTACTATTATACCTACTATCAAATCAGATAAATCCGACAATGCACCATGATAATATTACTCGAAATCACTGATAAAATATGGATGGTGTTTTATTTCGTGACTTGATATATTTCCTATCAACATTTTACCCTATATCATTGCGCCTGGAGGAAACTATTACCGCACCTACCAACAACAGGAAGATCATACTATAGTTTACGCACTGATGACAAATGGTTAAGGATCATTTATATACCTAAACCTACATGCTCCATCTTTCGAATTTTTAATCTACTGATGATACTCGTGGTGATCAATATATCAAGTTTGTAATCCTTCGAATCAATTTCAACTACTGTTCATCCACTCTTAAAATATTAACTCATCTGGTTATTAGGTAGGTATGTATTAGATTCTGAAATAGAAAGGAAACAGCGAAATGTTCTTTATTTTGCCAATTCAATTAGGACTAACATATTCAGCCTCGCCCTAAGTAGTTGGCGTTACTATAAAGCGTGTGGTATAAGGTCTATGTCATAGTCCAAAGTTCCAAAATTTTGACGCGTAGCCCTGAAAGCTGAGGCTTGTTTTTTCGGAAATCTTCTGGTGGTACCTAAGTGAATGAAAAGACAATTTTGAGATATACTTGACCTTGATCAGGCTTGCGTTTTCTACTTCCAATGTGGAACTTTGGAATACAAAGGAGAAATAAACCTATCGGTTATAATGGTTATACCAACATGCGACCCAACAAGGTTTAGGTACTCACTATACCGACCATGTATTCATTTTTCAAAAGATGGTAGCACATTTTAAACTAATTACATATATGAAATCTTGATGGAACTGAAGAAACAATATTTATACTGACTGTCATAACAAACGTAGGTTTGTTGAAACGTAGGTATTTTTAGCACACAATGAAAAATAGGCTATTATCGATATAATCTATCATTGTAGGTATCAATTGAATATGATGAATACTGACAGGATCTGTTGTAAGTTATATTGAAAAATTTGTGAAGGTACCTACCTACCTTACGTGGAAACATTATTAAGGTTACTTCGAATACTCATAATACTCCAGTAAAAAATAGGTATTCGTCGGGTATTCGCTCGGGTATTCGTCTATATAGATAAATAATCTAAAACCATTTCATGGTTGTATTGTAATCATTAAGATCAGTTCAGAGTTTGAGTATAGCCTACGGCTTCGTCGTGCAATCCTCACATGCGTGCGTAGTGATATGACAATTATTATAGGTACTAATCTTCCTATTTCACTCGTACTTTCAATTAGAAAGTGTGCCCAATTCAATATTGAAAATATTTCGAGTATTTGGTCTCCAGTTTGACAAATGCTGTTCGTGAAATTCATGATTCAAGATGTTTGATGGCGAGTTAGTTACAGATTTCACTAAGCATGTAGCTACTGAAATTCAGTTTTCGAATGGATCGCGTTGGCAAAAGGAACTAGTTCCTATGTCAACTTGTAATGGTTTCAGAACCAGCGAGTTTGCGATTCATCGACAACATCATCACTGAAATGACCCAAGTGGGTTTGTAGAAGGTGAAGTTACAGATTGGGAATCGGAGATCAAAAATTCACAATTTATTTATTAAACAAAACTTACAAAAGTAACCACAGTCACCTATCATCAATTACAATAACTTGTCAATTTATACAGGGTTAATAATAATTAATACCACTTCATTACAATCACAATCAACAGGATAATCCAATGCCTTCACCTTACAATCAGATGGCCTTCCTTCTTGTATTTCTTTGTTCCTTTCTCTCTTACTAATTCAATCCGAAATCCTTATTTTCAGGCAACTCAATTTCTTGACATTGAATAACATCTCGTTTCTGCGAACGTTTCTGCCTTTTTTCTTATACTGTTTCAATCGAGGTTTCGATGTCAGATGATTCAGTAAACCTACCTACTAGACTACGAAATAATTAGTTTCAAATCAGATGAATGAATATCAAACTTTTTTGTAGGTAGACTATCGCTTTCGACTTGTCCCGATTTGGACGAAACGTTAGACGACGATGTCGAAGTAGACGTAGAAGAATGCTCAGACAGCGAATCTTCTAGGCAACCCAAACAAAAACTAATGAGGCACAGTCCAACTATATCCGATTGTTGCTCAGAAACTGCTGATCTGGATCGAGAATCTCCAGATATAGTCGCGGAAAAAGTCACGTCTACTAAGGCACAAAAAATATTATGTAATTGTGAGGAACTTTTGAACGTGGAGTGTCACTTGGAAACGAAGGATCTTTGGGACAAATTTCACGACTTGGGCACTGAGATGATCATCACGAAAACAGGAAGGTGAGTGCATCTACCATATTCTTTTTAATATTTGATGTTGAGGATTTTTGATAAATTTTCTTCTATACTCAGAACGATAATCACTCCCCAAGATCTATATATTTGTCGACATATCTTTGTTAACGAAATGATTTCCCAATGCATAATCAATAAGTGATGAATGGGAAAGATGTCATCAGAATTATGAAACATTTTCGCTGTGCATCATAATATATCTGAGAATATTCCTTATCAATATAATGTTTACATCAATGGAATGGGAGTAGTCCAAGTACATAACCCTGTGGCACTCTCCTGTAATCAGAATTCTATATGAATATCATTGTTCATAGTATATAGATTTACTATAGTTATTAGTAATTTGATATATTATGAGATAGAGAAACATTTTTGCTGGGCATATTTGTATGTATATGCCTACCATGGGGTGCGGTGTCTGTGTAGTCTATTCGCTCAAATTTGCAAGATAGCCGTTCACGATGTGAAGGTGTTGTCGGTTCGAATCCGGCTTGGCTGAGCATTTTTTTTAAATGTCTGATTCTTTGTTGCTTTCCTGACAGCACCTCGACGCCCTAGAAGTGGTTCGTATATTCCACTATGAACTGTAGGGCCCGCTTTTCCAAACCTATACGAGAAAATTAAATAATCATCATCATCATAACACATAGAAGCTGAAGGCAAGGTTCCAAATAAGAGTTTATGTAAAAATGACTCACATGATTGGAGATAGTATGAATACAATTTTTTTTCTCAATTGATCATACCCCATCATGCTGGGGGGCTATATAACAAATAGCCGAAAAGTTAGTATTCATAAGAAGTTACCATTTAAGAAGAAGGAAGTAATTGATTTATGATTGAAGGGACAACTATATAATATGGGATTATGCACAAGACAATAATTAATAACTTTTTGGATATATAGGGATAGGGTCATCGGCATCAAATATTACTATCACTATATTATCACCCCTTATCAAGATATAACGTATTTCACATCCTGATGATGTTGAAACAAATATTATTCGAGACATTATTCTACAAGTCTTAAGTTTTTGTCCAGGTTCATGCATATTATGGATATTTCGACATGATATGAATATCGTATCGAATATGATCGTTTTGTGGGAATGCCCAGCGAATTCTGTCCAAATAAGTTCCGAATCAATATATAAATAGATTGATTTTTCAGCGACATTGGGGTGTTGAAATTTATTGCTTAGATAATTCGAATCCAATAGAAACTTGTATTGAGGCAATAAATGTGAATGTCCCATCACCATAAAATCTCGATTTTGGTGTTAGCGGTGATTGTAATCTAATACTAGCACACTCACATGCATTGTATACATTCACACCCCTTACGAGTAATATACACGAGGGAGCACTTGCCAGTGTTGATTGAAAATGTATATAAGTGCATGAGTTAGTTCCTGCCTTGTTGAATTTTGTAATTTTCAATTTTTATGTAAGATGTTAAAGAACGAAGTGAATATATAGATAGATCAGAGTAAAAACTGAAATACTGCTGAAGCCTATGAGATAAGTACTTATATCGTAATATTTGAGGAAAAAATTATACCTCAAGAAAATGAGGAACTATAAAGTTCTTGAATGCAACAATGTAATAAGGAGAAGCAACTACGAAAATGATGGCTTTAGTCTGAAAACAATTTCAAATATATATATGTGTAGAGAACTATCGAAGATGATCATCCAATGGAAAATAGGAGCTATACAATGCAACGACCAGCTGAATGTCCAAAAAAGGATAATATATAGTAATACAAATGTTGGTAGTGAGAAACAAGAAATGAGTGGCAAAACAACTTCACCACAGGAATATACAACAAGAAATAGCCTTTTTGCAGAGGAAGATCATAATCATTTTTTACAGTAGAACCTGACAAATCACTTTCGGTGATGCTTTTAAACATTCAATCAGTACGCAATAAGAGTGATGAACTTTATATTCACTTAGATAGTCAAGACTTTCCTGATGTACTATTATTGACAGAGCCTCGGACAGAGCACTGGCTGACAGAAGAAGAACCTCTATTCATACCACAGTACGTAATTTTAAGCAAATTTTGTAGAATTAATTTTATTCATGGTGGTACTATGATCTTAGCCAGGGAGGCCATTCTTGATAGGTTTTGTTTCAAGGCCATTGATAAATTCAATCATTTAATAGTTGAAAAAGAATTTGAGTTTTCAATTGTTCATTGCAAGAAGAATAACCTGTACTTAATATGCTTGTATCGTCCACCACAATGCAATGAAAATATTTTTCTTGAAAGGTTAGAGGGTATTCTATCTCTGTTTTCTCCTAACACTAACATTTTGTTAGCAGGTGATTTTAACATTGACTTTGACAATAATCCAAGAGCTGGCCTAATTAGAAATCTAATTGAATCCTTCAACCTCACAATGCATGTAAAAAACCCAACACGGTTCTCGAAGTACTCCTCATCCATTCTAGATTATGTATGTTCCAACACTACCTGTTTATCTTGTGAAGTCGTAAATAGTGGTCTCTCCGATCATGAAGCTATAATCTCTCATTTTCGAACTGAAGACGCAGTATCAAATGGCGTTAAAAATTATAGACGCATATATAGTGAAAAAAATTTTGAAACGTTCATGGAATTGAGTTCAAATATACAATGGCAGGAAACTTTGAAGAATAATGACGCTTTGGCCGAATTTCATCTCCACATTTGTGATACTTTCGAAAATGCATTCCCTCTCACTAAAACGAAAACTAAAAACAAAAAACAGTGGATAACTAAGGGTATAAAAGTATCTGCCAAAAACTTGCGCTCCCTTCATTATATAAGAAAATATTCACTGAAAAATGAAGCGTTTATGTTATATTTCACAAATTACAGGAGAATATATAGAAATGTCTTAAAAGCAGCCAAACAACAATATTTTGGAAAAAGAATGGACAATTCCACCAATAAATGTAAAGAGAGCTGGGCTATTATCAATAATCTCAGAGGGAAAAATAGTAAACCACCCTTAAATACTACTCTGTCTGCAGATCAAATTAACGATTATTATTGTTCTATCGCTGAAACCATTTCTATGGATATAAGAGCACAAGAGGACCCAATCTCCTACATGAAGAATTTATCTGTGAAAGACTCCTTTTTCTTCTCACCCACTAGTCCTGATGAACTGAAAGAAATATTGAAGGATTTTAAAAATAAACATACTTTTGGATGGGATGAGATCTCAGCTAATGTCTTACTCCATCTACCAGATGATGCTATGACTGTTTTAGCAGAGGCAATCAATAAATCATTTCTGAGTGGGATTTTCCCGAACTGTCTCAAGATAGCCATAATAAGTCCTTTACCTAAGGGAGGAGACTGCGACATAGTATCAAATCTGAGACCAATTTCACTTTTACCAACTCTGGCTAAGTTAGTTGAAAAATTAGTTAAAAAAAGAATGTTCTCATTTTTGCTTCATAATCGCACTCTAAGCACCTACCAGTTCGGTTTTCAAACAGCTAAAAATACAAATGATGCTATGTTTGCTTTATTAGAGGATATATATATCAACATAAACGATGGTGACGCAGTTGCAGCAGTTTTTTGCGACCTTTCAAAAGCATTCGACTGTGTTGATCATGAAATTTTGCTTCAAAAATTAGAAATTTATGGCTTTAGAGATATTACACTAAGATGGTTCCAATCATACCTATCAGAGCGTACTCAAATAGTCTCGCTTAACAAAATAAAGTCCAGGTCTCAGGTAGTGAAGTGTGGGGTCCCTCAAGGATCTGTGCTTGGACCAATCTTATTTTTAATATATATAAATGACCTAGCAAATATCACTATTAGAGGAAAGTTTACTATGTTCGCAGATGACACCACAATACTGTGGCATAGCAACAATAATGACGAACTGAGTAACTATGTCGCTGAAGATATATTGGGAGTAAAAAATTGGTGTGATGCGAATAAGTTATCATTCAATATTTCTAAAACATGTATTTTGACGTTCAAGTGCACTCTTAATGATATACTTCTGGAAAACTCAAGAATTTGTACTCAATCCTCGGCTAAGTTTTTAGGGCTCTATGTGGATGACAGTCTCTCATTCAACACCCACATTACAAATTTATACAGAAAATTATCTTCTGGTTGTTTTGCAGTAAGAGTCATCTCATCTGAATTGAATATATCTGCAGCAAGATCAGTTTATTTTGCCCTGATTGACTCAATTTTGAGATATGGAGTTTGTTTTTGGGGGAATAGTTCTCAATTTCTTTTGAACTCTGTGTTCATTTTACAAAAGAGGGCGGTCAGATACCTTAGTAAAGCTAAATTCAGAGAACCATGTAAACCCTTATTTGTGGCTCAGAAAATACTGACATTGACTTGCATCTTCATTCTAGAGAGTGTATGTATGATCCACAAAAAATATACCACGAACATTCATTCGATGTCGGTATACAACACAAGAAATGTTGACTGTACAGTTTCCCTACTAATTCCTAGAAGTACATTAATAAAAAAGTCTTTTATTTATAATGCCAAAAAAATTTTTAATCACCTGCCTTCACATATTCGTTCATTGCTAACACATATTAAGTTTAGAAAGGCAGTAAAAGAGCTACTACTGAATAAAGCCTATTATACCTTGCAAGAATTTTATGAAGACGCATTTAATTAAGTTTGTCAGTTTGTATAATTCGTTTTTAATTGTTCAATACCTTTTTTTATAGTGTGACTTTTACTAGTATATGTTCGACTTAAATGTTTTGTTCCTTATATATGTGCATATTTGACATGATTTTATGTAGTTTTAATATTAGTTATAGCTTATGATACACATGCTTTGTCAACAAAAACTTTAGGTTTTTAGTACAATAAAGACTTCTTCTTCTTCTTCTTCTAATAATATGCATTGAAGCGGCTCGGTGGTCGAGAGCGTGAAGGCGCTGAGTTCGTATGGGGACTCCCACCGAGACATAGGTTCGAATC